CCCCTGCCTCCCCACTGTCACAGATGCTGCCCCCCACACTCCCCCAGGATGACCCCATCCTGCCCCTGCCTCCTCACTGTCACAGATGCTGCCCCCCACACCCCCCCAGGATGACCCCATCCTGCCCCTGCCTCCTGAAGCCATGGATGCTGGCCCCACCCCGGCATAGGGAAGGCTGGCGGGGGGCAGTACCTTTGGCGCAGGTGCCCATGTAGCTGTAGACGCTGAGCGGGATCTGGGCCTGCTCCCCGCGGACCACGTGGGAGGGCAGTGTGAAGTCTACGAAGAAGGGCTTGAAGGTCTTCAGCAGGGCAGGCTCGGCGACACCCAGGCCCCGTGCAGCAGACAGACCCACAGCCTCACCCACCCAGCTGGTGATGGAGTTGGGGACCTGCATGCTGAGTGTCTCCTCACCGGACGGGTCACTGCGGAGAGACAGACAACCCGTGGGCCCTTCTCCGGGACCATGCTGCGGGGCCAAGGAGGAACGGAGGACTCTGGTCGCATGGTCTTGGGGCCCAGGGAGGTGCCCCCCACAGCTTGGAAATAAGCACTTAAGGCATCACAGAATGTGTGAAAGGACAAAGCCATCCATCAGCCCTGACTGGCCGTAACCAGAAACATGACCAGCTCTCAGGACTGCGGACACAGGAGGACAACAAAAAACATGGGTTCAGAGATGCAAACTGTGGCAGTGCGCGTTCCACCCAGTTTAGGGGAGAGAGACGCTGAATTGAGAAGTGACCGGTCACTTAGGGCATGTTCATGTCTGCCAGAAAGGTATGTCCAAGTCCTCACCCCCGGTACCTATGAAAGTGACCTTAATTGGAAACAAGGCCTTTGCAGATGTAATTAGTTAAGATGAGATCACACTGGAGTGGGGTATGCCGTAGTCCAATGACGGGTGTCCTAACAAGAAGAGGGATATTCAGACACAGAGGGAAGACGGCCGTGTGAAGACAGAGGCAGAGATGGGAGCCATGTGGCCACAAGCCGAGGAGGCCTGGAGCCCCCAGAAACTGGAAGAGGTGAGAAAGCCTCCTCCCCTAGAGCCTTTGGAGGGAGCGCAGCCCTGCCCACACCTTGATCTCAGACTTCTGGCCTCCAGAACCGTGAGAGAATAAATGTCTGTTGTTTCAGGCCCCCCATTTGTGGTCATTTGTTACAGCAGCCACAGGACACTCAGACAGTACCAAAAAGAAAAGAATATAAAATGTCTCATCAATAATTTTTTACGTTGATTACATGTTGAAACAACAATATTTTGAATATATATTGGGTTAAATAAAATATATGATTTAAAGGAACTTCACCTGTTTCTTGTTACCCTTTACAACGCGGCACTAGGAAATCTGAAATCACGTATGCGGCTCACGGTATGTTTCTATTGGACAGCGCTGCGCAAGATGCACGCAAGGTTCCCCCTGCCTCCAGCCAATGACACAACTGTCACTCCAGGCTGGCTCTGGGGGACAAACTCTGTGGTCTCTCTTGTATTTCCAGGACGTCCTTTTGAGATTTGTCTTAGCATTTGGTGCAAGTGTCGTCATTGGAGAATAAAACCTACAACCTGAGAAGCCCAAGGCATGAAGCCCAGATCACCCCTGGCCTGGCAGGGTGCCTGGCTGTTCCTCACCCACCTGCCGGCCTCTGTCCACTTCCCAGGAGCCTGACCCCGTCGGGCCTCAACCCGCCCGGCCAGACACCTAGGCTGCAGCATGCGGTGACCCCACTTCCCAGGAGCTGACCCCGTCGGGCCCTGCACGACCTGCAGCATCTACCGTCGCCTCCATGAGGGCCACATGCTGTCACCCCTGTGACAACTCAAGCTCAGCTTCTTCCCATTTGGCAGAATTTTCACCAGCTTTCTAGGGTCACAGCTGTTTTGTGCACATCAGGTGTCACCCGCTCACCCCCCAGGGGGACATCCACACTTCCTGGCTTGGCATCCTTGGCCCACTGACTCCTGAGGAGCCTGGCTCCCTGTTAAGAACCTAGGTGGGATTTTTCAGGCCTGATCACAATTACCAAGGCTTCAGCCGGCAGGCCTCACAGGCGAAGCTGCGGCCCCCCACACCGGACTAGGGCACAGCCTGTACACTGCGGTCTCTGAAGAGAGTTGCAGTCAAGGACTCAGGGCCCCTGGCCAGCAGGCTCTTTGCACATTTGCACTCCCAGCTCCGCCCCCCCCCACCACCGCCTCCATCCCCAGGTCTCCTTATCAAGACATTTCTCCCTAATTTGGCTCAGCACCCAGGACTTTCCCACTCCAAGTCCTCTCCCCTTCTGTCCCCCTAACCTCAGGGTCCACAAAACTACTGGAGCGTTTTGTTCAGGGCTGGCTCGATAGTATGACCCCCACGTCTGTGCTGATACACCTGCCAGGTGGGCTGTTCCACGGGGAAACAGAACAGGGGGAGTTGGGCTTGCACTGGTTTAGCCTCTTGCTTATACGTCACAGTAAGTGATGAAAGGCTTCACCATTACTTTCACTGTGGCTTCCTGTTGTTGCTTTAATCAGCCACTCTGACACCTGACAGCCCAGTTCTCTCTCTCCAGCTCAGCTGACAGCTGAGCGGCTCTCTCCTGACAGCTCCAAACTATCCCATGTGCGTGCGTCTCGGCCCTCAAACCCCACTCAACTGCTGGGGCCACGTGCAGCTTTCATGCTCCCGACAGGCCCCGCTCTGCCCACCCGGCTCAGGCTGCGCCCTCTGCCGGAAATAACCACAAGAGGGGCAGCTGTTGCCCCACCAGCCTGGCCGGCCTCTTGCTGTGGGCCAGGAGCTGTGCAAGGCACTATGACTACCCCAAGGACCCACAGAGGGGCAGTGGGCAGTGTAGTCCAGGACAGAGCCTCCTGGGCACTAGAGCCAGGATGCTGTCCCCAGTCCCTGCTGTGTGCCCCAAGCAAGGTCCTTGCCCTGTGCCGACATCTCAAAAATGCTATAAGGCATAGAGAAAACAAATAGCACAACGACAGAAGTAAGTCCCTCCTTACCGGCAATTACGTTAAAAGTAAATGGATTAAACTCTCCAATCAAAAGACAGAGATTGGCAGAGTGTATAAAAAAACATAATCCAACTATTTGCTGTCTACAAGAAACTCACTTTAGATCCAAAGACACAATGTATTAAAAGTGAAAGAATGGAAAAAGCTATTCCATGCAAACAATAACCAAGAGAGAGCTGGGATGGCCATACTAGTATCAGACAAAATGGACTTTAAATCAAAAAGCTTACAAGAGACAAAGAAGGACATTATGTACTAATAAAAGATTCAGTACAGCAAAATATATAACAATAATAAATATGTACACACCTGATAACTAACCATCAAAATACATAAAGCAAAAATGGACAGAACTGAAGTGAGAAACTAATAGCTACAATAACAGAGACTTCAATACTCCACCCTCGGTAACAGCTAGAACAATCAGGCAAAAGACAAGGAAACAGAGGACTTAAACAACATAAACCAACTAGATCAACAGACACACACGGAACACTCCACCCAACAATAGAATACACAGTCTTCTCAAATGCACATGGGACATTTCCAGGATAGACCACATGTTAAGCTACAGATTAAGTCTCAATAGATTTGAAAAGATACATATCACAGAAAGTATCTTCTCCTACCACAATAGGATGAAGTCAGAAATCAATAGGAGAAAAAAAACCTGAAAAATTCACACACTTGTGAAGATTAAACAACATATTCTTAAACAACCAGAGGACCAAAGAGGAGATCAAAAGGGAAATTTTAAAATACCTAGAGATGAATGAAAACAAAAACATAACACATCAACACTCACGGGATGCAGCAAAAGCAGTGCTCACGTGGAAATTTATAGCTATAAATGCTTACATTAAAAAAGAAGAAAGATCTCAAATAAACAACCTAACTTTACAACTTAAAGAACTTAAAAAAGAATAACAGAAGGAAGTAATAAGAAAGCAGAGGGAAGAAAATAATAGAGATCACAGCAGAGACAAATGAAATAAAAAATAGAAAAATGATAGAGAAAATCAACAAAACCGAAAGTTGGTTGTTTGAAAAGATCATTAAAATTCATAAACTTTTAGCTAGATGGACTAAGAAAAAAAAGAGAGAAGACTCATTACTAACATCAGAAATAAACGTGGGGATATTACTAACAATTCTACAGAAATAAAAAGGATTATAAAAGAGAACAATGAACAGCTGTATGCCAACAACTTGGATAACTGAGATGAAATGCACAAATTCCTAAAACACAAAACCTACCAAGACTAAATCACAAAGAAATAGAAAATCTGAATATATCTATGACTAGTAAGGAGATTGATTCAGTAATCAAAGAAGAAAAGTTCTGGACCTGATGGCTTTACTGGTGAATTCTATCAAAGATTTAAAGAGGAGCCCTTGTGCACTGTTGGTGGGAAAGTAAAATGGTGCAGCTGCTGTGGAAAACAGTATGGTGATTCCTCAAAAAATGAAACAGAATCACCACATGACCCAGCAATTCCACTTCTGGGTATATACCCAAGAGAATTAAAAGCAGAATCTCAAAGAGATATGTGCATGCCTATGTTCATAGCAGGACCATTCATAACAGCCAAAAGGTGGAAGCAACTCAAGTGTCCACTGAAGGACAAATGGATAAACAAATGTGGTCCCTCCATGCAATGGACTATTCAGCCTTAAAGAGGAAGGACATTCTGACACCTGCTACAACATGGATGTACCTTGAGGGCATTATACTGAGTGAAATAAGCCAGACACAAAAGGACAAATACTGTGTGATTCCACTTATACGAGAGCCCTAGAGGAGTCAGATTCATAGAGACAGAATGTAGCATGGAGGGTGCCAGGGGCTGGGGGAGGGTGTCTTGACATGAGTACAGCCATGTTTGGCAGCTCCATTGATCTACAGCCACCAGCACAAAAAGAAATATAAAAGCTGCTTTCTGCGTGGTGGGAACTGGCCTTTCTCCCACAGAGAGAGTTGCAAGTTGTAACATTTCAAGGCTCTTGGAGCGTCGTAGCACGGGATGGACTGGCCATCTGTGCCAGGCTAAGACGATAACCAAAGAGAACAATGCACGTACACAACTACTGGGCTGGGACGTTAGCCAGGGGGCTCAGTGCACGTACGCCACTGATAACCATTTGTGCATGGGAACACTAAACGCTTGCTCTGCAAACTCTGTAATTGCTTACTCTGAAAATTACTGATGGTATAAAAACTGCTAGAGACTGAGACCTGGTGAGAGTTCCACCTGTAGAAGGGACACCTTGCCCAGGACGTGTGATCCTTGCCCAGCCGCGTCGATTGACAGGGCTCTCCCGGCAGTGGGGCGTGGATAGTGTGAGTAATTGATTTGATATGAAGTAATTGATTTGATATGAAGTAATTGATTTGATGTGTTCTCTTTTCGGTCAACCTGGTGTTTCTCTTTCCGGTTGATTTGTGTCATTTCTCTTCAGCCGATGTGGGTGTTTTCCCTTTCCAGTCGGGCTGATGTTTTTTCCCTCTTAATATTTGACCTATTTGGATCTGTTTGCAGACTATCGCCTTTACTATCCTCTATATAATAAAATATACCTTCAGTCCATTTGTTTAGAGTGGAAAGTGTCTTTTACATCTCCGATCGAATCCCCGAACCTCTCATAACAGAGGGGGATGGGGAGTTAGTGTTTAGTGGGGACAGAGTTTCGGTTTGGGAAGATGAAGAGTTCTGTGGATGAATGGTGATGATGGTTGCACAACAATGTGAATACACTTAATACCACTGAACCGTACATTTAAAAATGGTTAAGATGGTAGATTTTGTGTTACATGTAAGTAAGCCCTACTAGAAATTTGGCAAAACCTCTCAAAATTAAAAATGCTCACATACTTTCAACCTGCAATATTTCTCGTAGTAATGCACCCTAGAAATATCCATAGAAACGTGTGCAAAGACTGACAGATGGAGTGGTTCATGGCAGCACTGTTAGAATTAGCAAACAGCCGATACCTCCATCAATAGGGCACCTGGTTAATCAAACGATAGTACACTCAAACAGTGGACTACTACATGTCAGTGAAAAAGAGGGAGGTAAGTGTCCGTGTACTGACATGGAATGGTCTCCAAGACTTATTGTTGACATAATAAAGGAAGGTACAGAACCGTATTATGGTATTCTCCCACTTGTGTGTTTTTTTAAATTCTTGTATATGCACAAAAAATTTCTAGAAGGACATCTAAGAGTTACTGATCATGGTTGCCTCTAAGAAAGGAATGGAGGGTCTGGGGGTGGGAGGGGGACTTCCATTTCATTATATACCCTTTCATACTGTTTGAAAACCTTTTAACCACTCACATATGGTTAAGAAGTATATCTTGTGTTCAGAATAAGGATGCATTGTCCAATTACAAAAAGGCACAGACACTTGCTTTTTAAGGCATTTCTCACACCTTTCTGCATTGGAATTTACAATTGCCTTCATAGTTTTGGGTTTCAGAAGGCTGCTTCCATACCCACTCCAAGCTCTCAGGAGGCCTGCACAGGGGAGGGTCAGGGCCCCTGGGATGGCATCTGGCTGGTGGAAGCCCAGGGGCCAGTATTCCTCCTCCCTCATCCAACCACATCCTGGAAACGCTTCCGTGTGCATCCAAAGTATCGTAGGGGGGAGCCTGGTCTGCCCACATCCTGATTTGGAGTTTGAAAACTAGGAACTTTGTGGGCCTATGACACTCCTGCTAAATGTGTGGCCCAGGCAGAAAGAACCCAGGGGACCGAGGTACCCGGGATCCAGATCTGGGCAGAGAGGGCTTGAAAGATGGAGAGGGCTTTCATGGACAGCCCTGCCAGGCATGGGAGGTCCTCGAGGCCACTTCTGGCTCAGAACAAGGGCTAAGGAGTCTGGGACACACCCTCAAGGTTGCTGGAGAGACTCAGATACTGAGGTACTGCTGACCACACGGACCCCATTCCTGGCTCCCCTTGGTCCTGTGCCTCCTCTCAGATGAGTGGGCGGGAGACATGCATTGAAGGCCTGCCTGCCCTGGTCGACACAGCCCTAAGCCCAGAGAGAGGGGGGAGGCGACTTCAAAGGGTCTTCAAACACCCTTCCCCTTCCCACGCTGGCTGGCTGAGATGTGGGGCTGAGGAGCCAGAGGGAGAGGCAGAGGAATGAAGGGGGTGAGAGAGAAGACAGAGGGGTGGAAGGGAAGCAGAAGGGAGAGGAGAAAGGGGGAGATAAGAGAGAGCAGAAAACATCACCTCCTGTGAAACGAAGGTCTCCAGGACTCCAGGGACAAAGCCACAAATCCCAGGGGAGACATGAACTCCTCTCCCTCAGTAATTGATGCTAGCAAACAAACAAACAACAAATGAGCAAAGATGTGGAGGACTCGGGCACCACTATCAACATGCTTGATTGAAAGTACGCATAGAGAGCCCTGCACCCATTCTTTTCAAGTAGACGTGAACATTTACAAAAACTGACCACACAGCCAGTCTCCAAAATAAAAACCAGATGGTGGATATCATACAGACCATGTTTGCTGGCCATGATGCACATTCAACACAAATATGCAAAATATAAAAAATAATCATTTAGGGTCCGGCCTGGTGGCACAGCAGTTAAGTGCATGTGCTCCACTTCAGCAGCCCGGGGTCCACAGGTTTGGATCCCGGGTGTACACTGATGCACCGCTTGTCAAGCCATGCTGTGGCAGGTGTCCCATATACAGTAGAGGAAGATGGGCACAGATGTTAACCCAAGGCCAATCTTCCTCAGCAAAAAGAGGAGGATTGGCAACAGATGTTAGCTCAGGGCTAATCCTCCTCACCCAAAAAAAAAAATAATCATTTAAAATATCCCTTGAAAATTTAAAACACTTCTGCACAAGTCACAGCTCAAAAAGGGAATCATTCCACAAATGAGAATCTATCTGGAACCGAGTAACAATGGAAACACTTCACAGCACAACTCAGGTGCAGCCAAAGCAGCACTCCAGGGGAAATTCCTAACCTTCAAAAGGCTTAAATGTTTGGAGTTAAAATAAGAAAGACTGAAAAGTAACTACTTGGTGTCCAACTTGAGAAGGCAGAGAGTTGGAGGGGAAGGGGGAAGAGAGAGGAAGAGAAGGAAGAGGGAGGGAATGGTAGGAGGAGGGAGAAAGGGTACTAGAAAGAATTTTCTAAGTGGAGACCCAGCTTCCCACCTGCCCCAATCCCTCTGTTCCCCAGGCAGTTTTGCTCCCCTGATGCACCTTTCTCTCTCTGCACCCTCAACCTCATGCACTGGGACGGGGCCAAGAACTTGGAGGGATGGCGCCGAAGTGCTCAGTGCCCCAGCCCACCAGGCCAGTGGTGACTTTGCCCCGAAGGGGACACTGGGCGATGTCTGAAGACATTTTTGGTTGTCACAACTGGGGGGAGGGGTGTTACTAGCATCTGGTGGGTGGAGGCCAGTGATGCTGCTCAACACCCTATAGTGCACTGGATGGCCCCACCACAGAGAATGATCCAGCCCTGAACGTCAACAGCATGAGGTTAGACAACCCTGCTCGAGGCAGCAGCAGTTACCTGGGAGGCCGTCTGGAGGACGCTGCTGCCATCAGGCTCCCCGTGTGGGGCTGGAAGGCAGGGACAGCATCATCAGTGTACAGGCTGCTGTCCCGTCGGTGGTTCAGGCTCACCAGGTCTGTCATCACCACCAGTCCCGTCTCCTAGGCAACAGACAACGTCCAGACCCACGTGGGGATGTCGATGTGATGGTCCCAGAGGCAAATGGGAATGAATAACGGTCCCATCACCCTGGGGTCACTGGTCCAACATCGCTGCTACGCCATGGCCCTGGGGAAATCAGTCCTCTGCTCCGGGCTTGTGACACAGACTAAGGGGGTCATGGGACCCAGTGACCAGGCAGGGCAGAGCAGAGGGAAGGCCAGCACATTTGTGGCCCAGGCACAAAACGCCACATAGTGTATGATTCTATTTATATGAAACATCCAGAAACAGGAAAATCCATAGAGACAGAAAGCAGATTAGTGGTCACCAGGGGCTAGGGGACGGGGATGGGGAGTGACTGCCCATGGGGACGGGTCCTCCTTTTGGGGTGATGGAATGTCCTGGAACTAGATAGAGGTGACAGTTGCACAACATTGTGAGTGTGCTAAATGCCACTGAATCGTCCACCTTAGAATAGTGAATTTTATGCTATGTGAACTTCGCCTCAATCAAAAAAAATCAATTGGTGAAGTGCCTGATCCAGACCAAGGGCCGGGGATGGTGGGCCGCCATTGTTACGCCATGGTCATCTCCATCACTGTGCTCGCTGTCAGGAACAACTGGATGGAGGACAAGCCCCACCCTGGACGGGCCAACCGCTCTGTAAATAAGGAATTTCAACCAAGTTACTTTGACTCACAGCGTCACCTCTTAATTCCAAAAGCAGGCAGGGCCCAGGGGTTCAAATGGCCAGGCATCAACAACCGTGTCATTGAAACGTCATTTGTTCAAGTGTATATATATATATATTCAGATACAGGAAAATGTTAATTGTGGGATCCAGGTGGTGGATCTACACGGGTTCACTAATTTGGTTCAACTTTTCTGTATGTTTGAAAATTTTCCATAATAAAAAAGGGAGGAAAAGGATGCCTTTTAAATGATTTTAACACTGGGATGAAAAGCACCCTCAGATGGGACGTGCATTTGAGTGGAGACTACCAGCATGCTCACATGGGCTTCCGGCGTGACCTAGAGCGAGGCTTGTGCATGCTGCACCTCCAGCCCCCACAGCCGGGAAGAAGAGGGACGATGTGGGCTACGAATGTCAGCGAGGGGGACCCTGCTGCCTGAGGACACAGCCCCCTGCTCCCAGTGTGAAGGTTGTCCTTCCAGCATACCCCCCAGGGCATGGCTCCCTAACAATCCAAGGTCTCCACTGACACCCCTGACAGTCTGCGCTCCTCAGCTCTGCCATGTGGGCGGGTCTGCTTACAAGCTTTCACTGCGGAGAAATGAAAATGAGTCCTGCAGCAATAAAAGTCTGGAAATTTCCGCCCTGACCCATCTCTGTATCCCTGAGACCCTTTGCTTCACTCTGAGAGGAGCTCAGAAAGGGGTGGTGGGGTCCAAGACCACCTCTCCTTATGGCGAAGGGGAACCCGGAGTCCTTGGTGACGCCCCAGGGCCACGCGAAGATGGAGGAGCGCTGGCGTCGTCGGGCCGTCAGCCCGGCCCACCAGAAGGGTCCATCCTCTCTGGACACCCCAAAGGTGTCAGAAACATCGTAATTTTCCAATTCCTGGAAAATCTACAGGCAAAGGGGAGTGGACACCAGGCAGCTGAGGGTCTCTTTTCAACCCAAACTGGCTCTCGTGGGTCGGGCGTGCTCCCATCTCAGCCTCCTTTCAAGTGTATCACTTGGAGACAATCTTAGGACACAGGCACTGGTGGCATTAGCCCATTGTAAAGATGGGCAGATGGGTCGGAGAGGTGGGACCAGGACATCATCAGGTAGCAAGGGTCTGATGAATTTGACTCCAAGATCTTTCAACTGCACCAAAGCAGTGACAAGGGCTGGGCTCACTGAGAAATGAACCCAATGAATACAGAGGATCGGATTCACAGCGGCTCTTCACTTATTGGAAAGGGAGCGAGGAAGGGAGAGCCCCTCGCAGAGGTGCTAGAGCCCAGCGCCCAAAGGCCTCGCTCACCTGGGCAGGAGTCAGCCGAAACTCAGAGCCGAGCAGGTAGACGCTCTTATCAGCCACGGCCACACACACGCTGCTGTCCCTCGCAGCCCTCACCCGCAGGTCAACAAGCTCCCCGGGTCGGGTCTCATTCGCTGAATATGTCAGTGAAACCTGGGACCAAACCAGCAGAGAAATCAGGAGCTGGGCCAAACGCTCCCGCCTCACCCACCAGAGACTCGGGCTCCACCAGCTCAGCTGGGCCCCTGGCCCTGCCGCCGGTGGGGAGGACAAGGGCACGGGGCAGAGTGACAGGAACTAGGCTGGTAGAGAGAATGGGGGGGTGGAGACGGGCGCCGGCCGAGGGCATGTTGCCGAACCTCGAAGTATGCAGGGAGGGGGCAGAGGCTGAGCCTGCTGTTGGGGACACGAGTGGTGTCCCTTCAGTCTGGAGGCCAGTGGGGACAGAGAACAGCTGGCCGCTGTCCCTGCGTGGGAGGAGTGCACTCCCACCTGGGGGACTTTTGGAGGGGCTCCGGTAAGACGCCATTTACGTTCCAATTACTCCTGAAGACAGGGCAGCCCTTACAAGTCCTGCCTGTGACACCACATGGAGTCCGAGTGGCAGCTGTGCACAGCCCACCCTGGAGCCCCCTGCCCCTGATGATGGCACTTGCCCGTCCCCCCTCCCTCCCCAAATGCCCCACCTGGTTTTCAAAGATGGTCTCAACAGCGAACTGGAGGCTGTCGGCGACCCCTTCTCCATTCTCCCTGACATAGAAGACCAGCAGGTGGCCAAGGCGGACCGTGCTGGGGGTCACTGCCAGCCGGAGAGAGGTCATGCACACACTGACCTCAGCTGCTGGAGCTGGAGGGGGCTCTAAGACAAGCCAAAGGTGGGAAGAGTCTTGAGAACTGAGCATCCCACAGTGGGACCCCAGGCTGCCGTGGGGACGACACGGGGCACAGCATGAGGAGGTCCCAGCCCAGGGCTGGCCCCGGGCAAGTGCTCCACGGATACTCACATCTCCAGTCATTTCACCCGGCAGGGAAACCCAAGAGGATGCAGGGGCACGCTGCCCAGAGCACCATCCAGGCCAGCGGTTCTCAACGGGGGTGGTGCTGCCCCCCAGGGGACATTTGGCAACGTCTGGGGACATTTTTCATTGTTATGACTTGGAGTTGCTACTGGCATCTAGTGGGTGGGGGCTAGGGATCCTGCTCAACATCCTACAGTGCACAGGAGAGCCTCCAGAGAGTGATCCTTCCCAGGTGTCAGTGGTGCTGGGAGGGAGAAAGCGACTTAGCATCAGAGAGACACTGTCTTCCTGTCTGTCTGTCTCTCTCTCTCTCTATGAATCTATCTATCTATGAATCTCTCTCTCTCTATGAATCTCTGTCTCTCTATGAATCTATCTCTCTATCTAGGAATCTCTGTCTCTCTCTCTCAGTGATTCTCACCATGAGGTGACTTTTCCCTCTAGGGACATAGGCGATATCCGGAGACTTCAGGTTGTCATATTGTGTGTGAGTGGGGGGCTACTGGCATCTGGTGGGTGGAGCCCAGGGATGCTGCCCACACCCTACAGTGCACAGGACGGCCCACCACAGAGGATGACCTGCCCCTCAGATGTCTCCAGTCTCCTCCTTGGGGACCCTGCTTTAGGCAGAAGGGTTGTGAAGAGCAGGGAGCTGCGGAAGGCCCAGAGGAGGAGCCGGGTCTCGTGAGGAGCACGTGGAGTCAAGGAGAGGGAGGAGAAGGACTCCTAGGTGGGGAGCAGCCTGGGCAAAGGCAGAGAGGGGCGCTGGCAGCTGGCACCATCACACAGTGTGGGCCAGCACAGGGGCCCAGCCCTTGGCTGGCCGCCCCCTTGTCCCCTGCAGACAGGCAGTGAGGATGGCCTTGAGAGGAGCTGCCCCCAGCAGCTGGTCACTGCCCACTCTCCTGGCCCCAGCCCCGTCTCGCCCAGGACACACGCCCTCAGCCCTGAGGCGAACGCCCTCTCGGCTGCATCCTGCTTACCCTTCCTTGCTAGGGCGCCCGTCCCAGTCTCAGTGGTTTAGAAGGAGACTGGGGCCTGTCTCGCCTGGCTCACCTGTCTCGGAAAGGTGTATTAAGCAAATGGGTTTCTCCAGGCTCGCCGGCTTGCTTCTCTGCTGGGTGATGTGGGCAGGCTGCTGGCCTGAGAACACAATGTTGCCCCTTGCAGCCACCTCGTAGTACAGAGTGAAATTGCAGGGACACGTGGACTTCACAGGAAAATGGGCTTCCCCCCCCGACCTGTAGGAAATATACAGCATGGGGGGCTCTGCCTGGGAACACTGCTGCCTTGGGGCACACTGGGGGCATAGGGAGGCTGGGACAGCTGAAGGAGGAGTGCTGGCCTCAGGGAAGACTGCCCCGCATCCTGTCCTGGCTGTAGCCACGTCCCCTTGGCAGCCTCAGCTGCCACTCTATAAGTGGGAGTGTGGTGCAGATGCAATGTGATAACGGCGTGCAAGCTCTCAGTGAGGTGTCGTGCAGAAAAGAATTGAACCTGGCCTGAAGAAAGGTCTGGCCTCTGCCCCCAGCTCCTGAGAGGTGATCTCTAAGCCGTTGAAATGTCCTGCCTGATAAGTCCTTGTTTGCCTGGGGTCTTGGGCCATACCAGATACTGACAATATGATCTATGGTGGGGCCTTGAGCCATGCTATCTCAACTTGGCCTCTGGAGGGGCTGGGACTGAGGTCAGCCACGCAGTGATCAGTGATGTCTATGTGACTGACCCCTTATAAAATCTGTGGACACTGAGGCTCAGGTGAGCATCCCTGGTTGGCAGTACACCATGCATGTGGTCACACATCATTGCTCGGAAAGTGACACTGCCCACGATTCTGCGGGGAGAGGACATCTGCAAGCTCACGCTCAGAGGTCTCCTGGACCCTGCCCCCTGCATCTCCTTCCTGGGCTGATTTTAATCTGTTATCTGTCACTGTAATAAATGGTAACTATAGCATAACAGTTTTCAGTGATTCTGTGAGTCCTCCTAGAGATTAAAGAAACTGAGGGTGGTTTGGGGACTCCCAAACTCTGAAATTGGTGTCAGGAAGGAGTATGGTCTTGGAGACTATTCCCTAACTTTACAGGTGCCAGTGCTGGCAATGGGCTGGGCCTTCTCATCAGATGTGTACTCGATGAGTTGGGTCCTCTCATAATCCCCAAGTTTCCAGAGGAGGAAAATGAGGCTCAGTCTCGTCCCCATGTCAGTGAGTGGCAGGAGCAGGATTCAAACCCAGGAGGGCTGATGTCAGAGCCCCATGCTTAACCTCCAAGCTGCCCTCATTCCCTGTGTTCCAGCTGAGGCCTCTCAGGTCCTGTGACCTCCCTGGTGGCTTGGAGTCTAACCAGGTCCAACACTGAGGCCGCAGGCTGCAAGGGAGTCATCCTCTGGGCCCTTACACTAGATGTTCCTTCCTATGCCCCATGTTTTGCAGTCCATGACTCTTCCCAAACATCTGGACTGCCCTAAACACCCAGAGGAAGGAAACCTGGAGTGGACTCTGGTGAGCCTCATTCTTGTGGTGGGCCCTTGGGCAAGTCATTTCATCTCTCTGAGCCTCAGTTTCCCCTTCTGTAAAAGAAGGTCATATCTCTTGGACAGACGGTCCTGAGGATCCAATGAGATGACGAATGCGCCATGTTCGACACCACATCCCTGTTCACTGTGGGTGGTTAATAAATGTCATCTATCTCCTCCTGAAGACAAGAACCCATCTATTTAAGGAGTTGGCCCGAAGGCACTCCCAGAGTCAAATTTGGGAAATTTGAATCACAGAAAGAAGAGTGAACTCTTCAAGAGTGTCAAAGTCATGAAAGACCAAGAAACCATCAGATTGGAGGAGAAGAAATGCAATGTGGGATCCTGATTGGGATCCTGGACCAGAAAAAGGCAAGAGTGGAAAAACTGGTGAAATTTAAATAAAGTGTGGAGTTTAGTTAATAGCAACGTCTGGTGTTGATTTCTTAGTTTTGACAAATGTACCACAGTTTTGTAACACTGGGGGGAAGCCTATCAAAATGCCAATAGCCTTTTTTGCCAAAAGAGAAAGGCAGATCCTAAAATTCACATGGAAATGCAAAGGATCCAGGACAACCAAAACAATCTTGAAAAAGAACAAAGTTGGAGGACTCACACTTGCTGATTTCAAAACCTACTACAAAGCTATAGTCATCAAGGCAGTGTGGTGCTCGCATAAGGGTAGACGTATGGATCAATGGATGGAACTGAGAGTCCAGACAGCAACCCACCCATCCAGGGCTGACTGATTTTTCACAATGGGGCCAAGACCATTCAATGGGGACAGAACACTCTTCAGCAGACGGTGCTGGGACAACTGGATCTCCACATGCAAAAGAGTGAAGCTGGACCCCTACCTCACACCATATGCAAAAATTAACTCAAAAGTGTGAAGCTGGATCCCTACCTCACACCATGTGCAAAAATTAACTCAAAACGGATCACAGACCTGAATGTAAGAGCTAAAACTATAAAACTCTTTAAAAAAAATGTGGGGTAAATCTTTCTGACCTAGGATTTGGCAATGGTTTCTTTTAGACATGGCACCAAAAGCACAAGCAACAACAACAAAAAGAGATCAATTGGATCTCACCAAAATTCAAAACTTTTGTTGCATCAAAGGAAACTGTCAGGAAAGTGAAAAGACGACCCACTAACCCATTCTAGTGTCCAGAATATATAAAGAACCCTTACAACTTAACAACAAAAAGACAAATAACTTTTTAAAAATTACAAACACTAGGCGAAGCTGGATGAAGGATATACAGGAGCTCTCTGCACTGTCTGAGCAAACCTTCTGTGAATCTAAAATCATTCCAAAAGTAAAAATCAAAAAGAAGAAGCATGATGGTAACAGATTATAACATATTGGATAATTTTTTTAAGAGTCCTGAATTCCATAGTCATACTCAAAACAACAACAAAAATGATGGCAAAGAGAGAGGGAAAGTTACTATTATTATTACTTTTTTACAGAGAATGCCAGCTAATAAATGTAGAAGGAATGACAGAATTCATAATTCACCATCATGCAGCCCCAGTGGGATAACTGATTACAGCATCATCAACAATGCTAAAGGCATTGGGTGGAAGGTGGCTGGGAGACAGGACACTGTGGCAGGGGTCTCAGAGTGTCACCTAAGATTATTTATTAGTCTCACGTGCAGAGGGAAAGAGCTGATAGGAACCAGACGGGACCAAAGATGAGATCAGCTTCAGCAAGGGTGGGGCAGCGCGAATCGGTGCCTCTGGATGGAATGTGATGAGGACAGCACAGATGTGGTAATTTTGCCAGACAGTGTTTTCACCAGAATCCCATTCAGATTGTAGGATAATCTACAAGACTGTAGGCCCGGATTCTGCACAAAAGTCATGGTGATGAAAAGGCAGGGCACCGTTCCAGATCAAGAGCAACCACAGACCAGAAGGGCCAAATGCAACACGTCAACTGATCCTGAATAGAGGAATAGAATGCACACACTCACACAGGTGCCTATGCATTCACATGCACACCCAGACAAGTGCACACAATTGTGAAGACATGCATGGGCGTGTGCACACGTTAGATAGAAGTTACATCTTGAGGACACCTTCGAAAATCTGAATATTGTCTGTGAGTTAAATAATAGGATTGAGTTAAGGTAATTTTCTGAGATGTCACAATGGTCTTGAGGTCAAGTTGAACAATGTTATTTTTAGGACATATTATGCTCAAGTATTTAAGAGTCAAACATCATAATATCTGTAACTTACTTGCAAATGTTGCAGCCAAAAAAGGTGCAGAGAAATAGATAGAGGGATAGATGGATGGATGGGTGGGCTGATGGATGGATGGATGGATGAACGAGTGGATGGGTGGGTAGAGGCAAAATGTTGATTCATAAATCTAGGTGAAAGGCATATGGTTGTTTATTATACTACTTTTTTTCCATTTCTCTCTAAATTTGTGAAAAGACTCCCTTATAAAAAGACCCCAAACAAAAGTCTCCTTCTGTTTGAGATGTTGGATAAAAAGAAGGATAGAACACACAGCATTCTCCTCTTCTCATGCACTAACCCCATGTCATCAAAGCAACCCTAAAAGACTGCGGTGACAGCCCCTGTTTACAGACTAGCTCCTCCCTGCATGTGCCTTGGTGCCAGGGGAAGGGGAAGGGCCCTGACATAGAGCGCCGGCTGGACCAACCACAGCCACCTTGCCTCAGTGCCCTGAGGTCTCGCCCAGGGCCCCTCAACGACGGTTTGGCATGGGAAGCTGGAGCTGCTGACCGACTCAGGGAGGATGGAGATGCCCCTCAGAGAGGAAAGTCTGAGTGGCCCAGACAAGTCCTCACCTACTGGGAAGAGCGGTACCAGCAGTTGGGACACAGGGCTCTTCCCGCCCCGTGGGAAGGCAGCCAACTCCGGCCTCCCCACACTGCGACACTGGGTGAACAGCACTGTAACAAGAACAGTGTGTTCATCCAACCTGGGCACCATCTCCTCCGTGGTTCTTGTTCTCGTAACCCCTGCACAGGCCTGCTGGGCCCAGGGAATCAGCAGCCCAGCGCCGCGGGTCCTCTGAGCTGCATCCCGGGGGCTACTCGTGGCCTTGGGTCTGGGCAGCAGCTCTCGGAAAAGAGTGCCAGAGGTTTACGGGGCCGGTTGGGCCTGGGAGCCAGGACGGCAAGTGGTTTCCATTAGGAGCGATGCTGGCGAGCCTGCCACCACCCACGGCAGCCAGGCTCAGCCCTCGGCGCTCTCGGTCAAGGGAGTGAACGGAGTGCTTCACTGAGCACATGCATGTGTGTTGTTCACTGAACACATGCATGTGTGTTGTTCAATAGGGACGCTACAGTTCTTCCGTACATACAAGAGTGCTATTCTCACTTACATCAAAGCAGCTCTCAGGTCCTGAAAAGACACAGAGGAACCTTCAATGCAAATTGCTAAGTAAAGAAGCCAATTTGAAAAGGCTGTGTGATTCCAACCACAGGACATGCTGGAAAACACAAAAGTAGAGAGACAGGGAAAAGAGCAGCGGTTGCCAGGGGTTAGATGGAGCACAGGGATTTCTGAGACAGTGAGAGCGCTCTGTACGACACTGTCCTAAGGGATGCGTGACGTCGTCCTAGGTCATAAAACGTGCCCAGGAGAGGGAGCCCTAGTGTGCACTGCGGGCTTGAGTTAATAATACGGCATCGACACTGGCTTATCAACTGTGACAAACGTGTCACAACTAATGCAAGATGGGGAAACTGTGCAGGGACAGGGTGCGTGGGAACTCTCCACGCCTCTGCTCAGTTTTTACAGATCCGTATCTCCACACACGTCTCCATGCATCTTACTTAACTAGGATTGTGAAACAACAAACTCAAGAAGAATTAACAGGAGACCCAGCTCTAAGTCAGTCTCATCTTTGACTGGAAGGGTCTGGTAGTGTCTGAGTGGGGCAACCCTCGGTGCCTTCGAACAAGAAGTGAAAGGCTCCAGGCAGCGGGGAACCCGGGCCAACAGTGAGGGGGTCTGGTCTCAGGCCTGGGCCCGGTGGCACCCTGAGGGCAGGAATCATGTTTATCACGGTAAAACGTGGGCCACAGCCTAAACGTCCATTGTAAATAACTTACAGGGCATTTACTCTGCAGAATAGCTCCCTTTGCTGGACGAATGGGGCTCTGGCACCGGCGGCAGCATCAGCCCTGCTGGGGCACGTGCAGGTCCCCAGGAGGCGCGAGCACGCCACTTCCTGGGCCCTGTCCTGCCTGGGAGGAGCAGCAGCTGAGAGCCGTACCTGCAGGGGCCGGGACGGCGGCTGCAGCTGCAGCTGCAGGTAACACTGGCTTGGGGAGCACCAGCTGCTGAGACAGAGGTAGCTGGGCAGGTACCGGGCTCCCACAGGCTTCCTGTTGATTGCCATCACCTTGGTCTGAAGAATGGAGGGTACTTGGTCAAGGCTGGGTGCCTGGCATCAGAAGAGGGTCTTACGGATGCTTCTGCCCAGGCCGCCCTGCAGCCAGACCCTCCTAGGCTCCAATTGTCCTTTGGGGAACCCCCCCCCACAATGCTCAGAGAATGAGGTCCAGTGTGGCTAGCCTGTTCCTCAGCTCTGTGGGAAGCAGGCGTCCGGCACTGGCCACAGGGTGTCAGGCGTTGGCTCAGGCAGGGGCAGGTGCCCAGGTTCCAGCAGGAGGGGATAAGCCGCCCGGGAAGTGAACACAGAGGAGACAGCGGGCAGGAGGGGGAGCGGCTGTGCTAGACCAGCTCCGCCTGGAGCTCTGGCCCTCCCCCTGCCCCCCGACCCGGCCTGGGCCGTGATAGTGTGTGTGCTCCTTTGGGGGGTTGATCCTGTCACCTTCTCTTGCTGCTCAGAGAGTGCAGCTAACACAAGGGAGACACCAGAAGGGGGCGTCTAGGACCTCTGTGTGACAAAGAATAAAGAAGTCGGCCGCCTTTGTCCCAGTTCCTGGGAAGTGGCCTCTAAAGTCCGGGAATTTCCCCAAGTGACGAGCGTGTCTTCATTATTTGTGGTGGGTCACGGGGGCAGCCACATTGGAAAGACTACCTGAGTGATTAGAGGGTTGGGGCTTGTAGCCACATGGTATCAGCGGACCTCTGGGGAGAGGAGGCGGCTGCAGACTGTGTTCAGTCAAGCGGCCAATGACTCAATCAACCAGGCCAATTAGGAAATTATGAAACCCCAACAGAAACTGTGGACACAGAAGTGTGCGTGAGCTCCTCACTGGCAGGTCTCTGTGTGTACTGTCACACGCTGAGGAGCCGGAGGATGATGTGTACCAGCTCCACCGGGATGGCACACGAAGCTTCGCATTTGGGACTCTCTCAGCTCTCGCCCACAGGCCTCCCTCTTTGGTTGGTCCTAATTTGTATGGTTTTGCTATAATAAAATTGTCATTGCAAAAGATACAAACTCTCAGTTACAAAATAAGTCCTGGGGATGCAACATCCAGCACGGTGACTACAGTTAACAACACTGTATTGCGTATTTGAAGCTGCTGAGAGAGTAGACCTTAAAAGCTCCCATCATAAGAAAAAAAATCTGTAACTATGTGTGGTGACAGATGTTAACTAGACTTACTGTGGTGCGCATTTCACAATCTATACAAATATCAAATCAAAACTAATATAACATTATATGTCAATTATATCTCAATTTAAAAAATGTTTAAAATTGATTCTCCTTAAAAAAAATCACAGACCTTTTCCTAAGAAGTATTTGGGAATAGAAATAGAATATCTTTTCAATAAGTGACATTTTTGGGGAAAGCTAATTTGGGGACATATATATATGGGAGACAAACTTATTCAGCTGATTCTGGCCTTTGTAGTCATTTGCGGACTTTGCTGCTACTTAATTGCTAAAGGACTAATGAAAATAAAAGCGAGTCTTTCAATCATTTAAAAAAACTGTAATTGTGAGGTGTCGGGTAGCGGAAACCCTTGAATTTGTAGCCAGTTGGTAAAATGTGGGGGTGGCCTAGGGACTCCTCAGATTTTAGCTTTGGTGCTTAAAAATCTTTAGGGACGTGTCACCCACAGGGGGCACAGTGACCACAAGTGTCCTTGGCTCCCACCTACACATTTATTCTCAGCTGCCCCCTTGTCCCTGCCACCCCAGTGTCTGTGGGGCCGCCATGCCCACCACCCGGTCACAGAGCCAGGAGCTGGGACACCCTGCGTGTCACTCTTGGGCCTCCCTCCCCTGCCAATCTGACACCAAGTCCTGCCAATTCTACCTGAATAGCTGCAGGCTCGGTGCCCCCTCCACCACCGCCTCCTGCCTGCCCACCTGTGGCCTTCCCAACCACCTCCTATCATGGGCTCCGGAGTGACCACTGGGTCTTAAAACCAGATGACTCTGTCCCAGGCGCGGCCTTCCAGGTACACCCCAAGTGCCCCGGGAGGGGCGGCAGCCACGTCCTCCGCAATACGAGCACCTGCAGGGCCTGGTTACACTGTGGCCTCCAGGCTCCTGCACTCACTCTTGCACCCCCCAGACGCAGCCCGGCTGGCCTTCCCCACAGTCGGGAGTGCACCTGCGGAGACCCCCGTGATGAGCAAACAGCCGTTTTGAGTCGCTGCCTAAGCATCTGACATCATTTTACATGTAAGCAGTTTACAACCCTGCTCAGCCCGAGTCTGGACACACGGACGAGGGCCTGGGCTCAGGAGGCCCACCACAAGCCCCTGCCGTGCTGTCCCGGGGCTCCTTTAGAACAACCACTAGGAGTGAGGCCAGGAAAATCGGTGACCACTGCCCCAACCACCTTTCAAGTACCAGGCACTTGCTGCCCTGCTCTCTCTCTGGTTCGCCCGTGACCTGGGATGGAGGATTGTCCCTCCCCCGGCTCAGCGCACCCCCATTTTGGGACCTGTGAGTAAACACCTTGTGACTTTACTTCCTTTGTGTGAGTGTATTGAAACTGCACCTTCAATCAAACAGCCCCGGGGTTTTCACTTCCCCAAAGCAGGAGCTCGGATGCCAGTGGTGCTACCTGCCGGCCCCTGTGGGTGGCTTTGTGCCTTCTCATTCCTCAGGTCATAATCTGCATATTCTTAACACACCAGCTCTGAGCTTTCGGATATTTTCCTTGGGGCAGCCAGGCACCCTCACCTCTTCTCGGCCTTCCACCTCACCCCGGGATGGTCGGGTTACCCGTCCCTGTCAGGCACCCCACTGGACCGTGAACTCCCTCCGGGCAGGGACGGCCCCAGGCCCACTGAGTCCATGCCTGCTGGCTGGATGACAAGGGTCCAGGTGACTCACCCACCTCCAGCCACACATGCTGGGCTGACGTGGGGATGGAAGGGATTTCAAACCCCACCAGCCCTCCCCGGGACACAGATTCCGTGGTGTAGATGCTATCCTTCGGCGTCAGCTCTGCTCTGATCTGGACCGTCACCCCGTCGGCCGGGCTGCCGTCCAGGTAGGACAGCTCTACCTGGAAGGAGTCACCAAAGATTCGACGTGGTTAGGACAGCAACACCCCCGAAACTGATCTAACGACCCCACCCAACACCCACCAGAAGCCCAGCTGGCTTCTGTGCAGAAACTGACAAGCTGATGCTAACATTCACAGGGAATTGCAAGGGGCCCCAAATAGCCAAAGCAATCCTGAAGAAGAACTTCGAACAAAGAAGAACTCACACACCCCAATTTCAGAAATCACTACAAAGCTACAGTCATCAAGGCAGTGTGGTGCTGGCACAGGGAGAGCCACATGGATCAATGGATGGAACTGAGAGTCCCGATAGAAACCCACCCATCCAGGGCCGACTGATTTTCCACAATGCGGCCAAGACCATTCACTGGGGACAGAACAGTCTCTTCAACAGATGGTGCTGGGACAACTGGATCTCCACGTGCAAAAGAGCAAAGCTGGACCCCTACCTCACACCATATGCAAAAAATTAACTCAAAAGAGTGAAGCTGGACCCCTACCTCACACCATATGCAAAAATTAACTCAAAACGGATCACAGACCTGAATGTAAGAGCTAAAACTATAAAACTCTTAGGAAAAAATGTAGGGAGAAATCTTCATGACCTTGGACTTGGCAAAGAAGTCACAAGGTACAAGTCACCGTGCGCCAGTCCTGAGCCTGGTGCCATGTGGTAATATGGAATTCCTGGGTTGCATGGTGTGGAATTAAATGAAGACCACCCAAATAAGGACGAGCAAAGGCTATTTGCTCAGAGCCAGCTGTAGCAACGGAGTTAGCCACCACCACTTGCATTTGGGAGAGACTCAAAGGCAGGCAGAGAAGTAGGAAAGCTTTACAGTGAAGAAAAGGGAAGGCAGCTTCAGGTGCACCCCGATGGGAGGCGTGGGGAAGCTGTAGGCAGCTGATTAGAAGCAGGGCATGCAATGCAGTTGGCTAGGGTCACACAGAGACTCCACGTCCATCCACCGTTGCACTTATTTCTGGACTCTCGGTTCTACTCCATTGGTCTCCACGAACAAGTCACCATGTGCTGGCCATGAGCCTGCTGCTGCCCCTGTGCAGAGCAGAGCGAGCGATACTGTGGCCAGTCCCGCGTGACCCAGACTCCGCTCCTTCAGACGGGAGAAAAGGCGGTCAGAAGGAAGGCTCAGAAGAGACGGGTGTTGTGGAAGAACTATGGCCAGTGGCCCCTGACAGACCCTGGAGCAGTCCATCAACTGTGCAGGTATTCGTCGAAGGGGTGATGGGGGCTTCAGCCGGCATGATCCTCATTACCAGCTCTGTTCTTTAATGCAGACAGTGGATAATTTCTCTGCTGTGTGTGAAACGTTCCCCTTTCACTGAACCGACAGCCCCATGCTCCTCCTTCAGACAAGTTCTTACTGTCAAACTGAGACTCTACAACCCAGGGGCACAGCAGCTGTGTCTCTACGTGTGGGGCAGTGTTGGCTCAGGTCCTAGCAAGAAGGAGAGAAGGCAAGTCCCAGAGTGGAGCAAGAGGTGGACAGAGTGAGCACGGACCACCAGGATCCTGTGGGTGACCCGTGGGAGGCAAGAGGGGCCAAGGGTGTGGGTGCTGGGCAGAAGCAGGGGTCTGGAGGCGAGACTGGCTTCCCCCTGGTGTGACACTGGTTCCGCTGGCCTTGCTCCCTCAGTTGCAATTGGGATGCCCCAGTTCAGCAATTAGGAGAAGGATCTCAGATTTTTGGTCACCTCAGACTTGACTGTGTATAAGATGGCGTGGTGGGTGGGAAGGAGGCCGAGGCTCATCCAAAATGCTGCTTTCCCCAGGGGTCTGAATCAGTCTGTGTCAGGGACGAGGATCTGCCTTTTGGGGACTCAGATGTTAGGTCATCCAGAGATAACGTCAACCCGAGTAAGAAAGGCATGCCTCACAGGAACTGATCTTATAAATGGATGCACAGTGCCTTGGTCTAATGCTGTAGGTACCGGAACGTCTATCTGTGTGGCATAAAGTAGACCACACTTTTAGGTGGAGCAAAATGTCCAGTCCCCCTCACCCTGGAGCACCAGCTCTCACCATGCTCAGCAAAGCAGCCGCTTGGTCCCAAGAGAGCAAAGTCTATGCCAATGCAACCAAAGGATACTGTTTTCAGCCAAGTCACCATTGCAGGGCCCGTGGCACCCACTGCAGTGGTTTCACAGTGGTCTTCGGATGGGAGCTGGGATGGGAGGCAGTGCAGAGCCTGCAACCTTGGATGGGCCCTGCTCGGCGCGTCCCCCACGCTCACCTTCCCCACATAGGACAGACCCAGCTTAAACTGCTTCCTGGTGTCCTTAGAGTACCGGACACCCACCAGCTGCCTCTGGACGGGGGTGGAGTTGTCGAAGCCCGCCTGCTGGCTCCCGTCCATGCTGGTCACTGTGGCCCAGATGCTGACGGTGCCCTGGAAGTGCTTGGGGACATCGGCCAGGATCATGTCCTTCACGCAGATGTCGAAGTCCTGGGAGCTGTGGATCTGGAGGCAGCAAACACATGGGCTGTTTTCACTTGGAGTTGGAGTGGCTTCAAGGGATGACTTTCAGACACACACCCATAGTTGAGGACTCTCTGGCCTCTTAGAGGGCTAGGCGGACACTCAGTGACACACCCAACCTAGGTCAGGGTCACCACGGGGGAACAGATCCCTCGCTGGATATGCACTATGTCCCGGGGAGGAGGGGCGTTGACTTCCTTGGGCAGAAGGTACGACAATCCCCTTTGGGCCAGACAGCAGACTGGGGATTTAAACCCGGTTGGTCCCACTCCGGAGCACTCACTCCCCTCCCCCTCCCGGGGCACAGATCTCCCCACATTCGACCCCTATCTCAGGACCCACCCACATCCAGAAACAGCTGTGGAGTGAATCACTCAGTAAACAAGAGAATTAAGACAAGGGCCACCACCAATGGGCAGCCCCGCCCCCAGGGAGAAGGGAAGGGGTGAGAAGTAGCTTTGAGTGGAGGTGGGGTCGGGCAGGCGCTGACAGGGTTCAGTGTTGGAGGCCCCCACAGAGGCACAGACTTTCCAGGAGGGGTGTGCACATGACACTGCAGCACACTCAAAATGTAACGTTAACTTGCAGAAGAAACCCAAATCCAGGTTATAAAACTTCACATACACAGAAAAGTGAAGTCATGCAGCTGCTTTGGAAAACAGTGCGGGAGTTTCTCAAACAGCTAAACACGGAGTTACACTGAGAGACCGAGTGTACAAACGGACCAACGCCAGACCCTACAGCAAAAAAGTACTCTGACCCACGACCTGCAGTCACCAGCCCAGAAAGCCAACCCATTACCTACAACTCAGACTTCTAGGAAGTGAGACCCCTATCTCTAACAACCATGCAGAACAACGGCCCCAGATGGGCAGGACTTGATTAATAACTGACAATTTCCCTGATCTTTCCCCCCCCTTCCAACTTAGGACCAACTGGAGAAAACCAAGTATGCTCCCCTAACCAATCACGTAGGATGCCCTGCTTCTAGTTAGACGCCTCCAGCTTCCCCAAGTCAACAACCTCCAGTCAGGGCACACCTGAAGCTGCCTTCCCTTTGTGGAAATTAATAGAAGAAACCTCAATTAAACTGGCTCCGGAGGGCCTGTTGCGGGGACTCTCACTCCCATCACACACCATCAATTACACCAAACAGGAAGAGAGGACACTTGCATCTTGAGCACAAAGTAAAACTACTTCACTACTGAAGGATGATTTCTCTCCCCACCTGGTGACAGCCCAGCCAATGGGAAACATCACAGCTCAGCCAATGAGAAACGCCACAGCCCAGCCAATGAGAAGTTCTGCAGCTCAGCCAATGAGAAATGCCACAGCCCAGCCAATGAGAAATGTCGCAGCTCAGCCAACAAGAAATGCCGCAGCCCAGCCAATGAGAAATGCCACAGCTCAGCCAACGAGAAATGCTGTTGCTCAGCCAACGAGCAATACCACAGCCCAGCCAATGAGAAACACCACAGCTCAGCCAATGAGAAATGCTGCAGCCCAGCCCATGAGAAATGCCACAGCTCAGCCAATGAGAAACACTGCACCCCAGCCAATGAAAAACACTACAGCTCAGCCAATGAGAAACACCACAGCTCAGCCAATGAGAAACGCCGCAGCTCAGCCAATGAGAAATGCCGCAGCTCAGCCAATGAGAAGCCATTGCCACCCCGAACTGCTCCTTTCCCCCAATGGACTTTCCTTTAGAACAGCCCCTCCCTACTCCCTCTTTTTCTCTATAAATGCAGCTCCTTCCTTTCTTTCTGGATTTGCCTGTGGTTTGCCATAGCATGCACATCCCAACTTGCAATTCTTCTGGCTGTTCCCAAATAAACTCATTTTGAGATAGAATAACAGGAAAATTTGCTTTTTATGTTGACACTTTTTCTTCACTGTAAAGCTTTCCCACTTCTCCGCCTGCCTTTGAGTCTCTGCCAAATGCAAGTGATGGTGGCTGACTCCCTTGCCATAGCCATCTCTGAATAAACAGGCTTTGCTCCTCCTTATTTGGATGGTCTTCATTTAATTCCACACCATATGACCCAGGAATTCCACACTCATGAGAAATGAAAACATGCATCCACACCAAAACTTGTACATGTATGTTCAGAGCAGCACTGCTTCTAATCGCCAAACAGTGGAAACAACCCAAATGTCCATCACTGGATTTATATATAAACAAAATGTGGCATAGCCATACAATGGAATAGTACTCAGCCATAAAAAGGAATGAAGCTATGACACACGCTAAAAAGTGGATGAATCTTGAAAATTTTATGCTGAGTGAAAGAAGCCAGACACAAAAGGCCACATGGTGTGTGATCCATTTAGATGAAATGTTCAGAACAGGCAAATCCATAGAGACAGAAAGTAAGTAAGTGGCTGCCAGGCACTGGGGATGGAAACAAGGATTAACTGCAAAACGACAGGATAGATTTGGGGGATGGTGGAAATATTCTAAAACTGAGTAGCGGTGATGGTTGCACAACTCTGTCAATATACTAAAAACTACTGAATTCTACACTCTATATGGGTATTTAAATTGTGTGGTATGTAAACTATATCTCAATAAAATTATTTTTTAAAAAAACTTTACATAAAATATCTTGGGAGGAAACACACCACAATATCAATAGTGGTTGTGTTTGCCTGTTGGAGGACAAGACATCTTTATTTTCTTCCTTTTAAAAAATTTTCTAAGTGACGTCAGCATCACAGCAGAGTGAGCTTTCCCGTAAACTCTTCCCCCGATAAGATACAACAAAAGGGACATTCATAGACCAACAAGGGACTCTCACACAGCACAAAGGGACATTGGAAAGAGGCACACTGGCACACATCTAAGAGTGGACGTGCTGGGGTCCCCAGAGGAAGTGGGGAGAGGTAAGGAGAAATCCTCTCCCTCCCCATCAGATCGGCAATTTGGTCCCTGCAGCTCCCAGAGAGGGGGAGAGGCGGCCCTTTGTGGGGAAACCCTAGCTCTTCAGGCTCTCTCAGCCAGTGGGAAACTCCCACACAGAGGACTCAGAACTGCTGCAGGGGTGCCATCAACATTTGAGCACCCCAGGAGAGCGGATAACAAGGGGCGAGCTAGAAGCCCCCCAACCAGGGACCCAGCAGGCAAAAGAGAGAGCCCCTCCCCCCCACATGCCCGACACTGCAGCTCAGCCGACCAGTCAGAGCAGCCGGGGCAGAGCGCAGGCAGCCACCACAGAGCACAGGCAGCTGCCACGGAGCACAGGGGGCTCAGATTACACAGCCCTTGACTCCCACACAGTGGTGGCAGGTGGAAACCACAACCAGATATTTCCAGGATGAGGAAAAAACAAAGCGAATACAGCAACCATGATGCAAAAGTACATTAAATTGCCAGACCAGAAGGAAAATGACAAGCACCCAGAAATCAACCCTGAGGGCACAGAAATCCATAACCTAAATGAGAGAGAATTCAAAATAGCTATCATAAAAAAGCTCAACAAAATACAAAAAAACACAGATAAACAATTCAAAGGGATAAGGAGTTTCTTCACAAAAGAGATTGAAATCATAAAGAAAAACCAATCAGTGCTGATGGAGATGAAGAACACAATGGAGGAGATAAAGGAGAACCTGGAATCTTTAAAGAACAGAGCTGACAATATGGAGGAAAGAATTAGTACTTTAGAGGATAGGAATACAGATATACTCCAGATGGAAG